ACCTCCATTTCCGTGTGCCGATGCCCAGTTAGGGTGTTCAAGTACACTTCCGGGTTCAACCCGAAGACAGAGATGCCTGTCGTCCCCGTGTGGTGTCGCCTCCCCGGCCTCCCACCAGACCTTTATCACCGGGATTCCATCACCACACTGGCTAAGTGTGTCAGAAAATCGGTCCGCATTGATGCCCCGACAGCCCTCCAGTCGAGGGCTAATGTGGCTCGATTTTGTGTTGAGATCGATCTCAGGGTTGAGCTCGTCCATGAGATTGAGATTGAGCAGGGTTCGGAGACTTTTGCTCAGCGGGTGATCTACGAGAAGATCCCCGCTTTCTGTACCTCATGCAGCCATGTGGGGCATATAGCAGCGGATTGCTACATCAGTGGCAATAAGCCACGTCCCACTCTGCCTCCGCGCCATCGTGCGACTCAGCCAGGACCCTCCAATGGCCGGAGGGAACCGAAGGGAAAGGGCAAAGGCCCTCTCCAAGCGCCCGGATCCCCAAAGGGGGTCAAGGATAAGGGCAAGGCTGTGATGGTCTCCACTGCCCAAACTGGAAAGGATTTTCATCCTAACCAGCCTAAGCAGTTGGCTTCCATTGGGCCCAAGGCCAAGACCTCGGGCTTCATTCCCAGACACACCCTTCAGTCGGCCTTTAAGGCCAATCACTCGTTCTTTGCTGTCCTCTCCCCTGAGGCAGAGGATGATCCTGAGACCTCTACCAGTGATCCCCATAGGTCCTTAGACCTTCCCTTTTTAGACGATGATGACCTCCTAGCTGAGGATCTAGAGCAGCTGGATGCCTCAACCAGTGGTACGTCCATTCACTTAGCTGATGACAGCACTCGAGGTGCTGTTCCTTTGACCGTCCATTCATCTAGCCAGGACCGCCCCCTGGAGATGAGGACAGCTCCCGCCACCTCTCCCCCGAAAGGGGAAGAGCTGGCACATCTTCCCTCTGCTGAGCTTAGGAGCTCGGTTGAGCATATAGCTACTCTCCAGCCTCACTCTCTCGGTGAGCACCCGAGTGCTCCTCCGAATGAAGCCTCTCTCCCCCCATCCCGGAGCAGGCATGCGGTCTTAACCGCGCCCAACATGACGTCTCGTGCGAGAGTTTCGCCTCTAGCGCATTCGTCCACTTTGACAGACAGAAGACGACCCCAGAGCTGGGGCAGGATCCTAGTTCTGCTTTGGGTCCGATTGCTCAACCCGATGACTCGCAGGCTACGAGCACTTACCGAGGGCGTCCCCCCTCGAAGTCCAGACCCACACCGCGCGTGACACGACGGACAGTCTCCCCTGCCCTTCGATTTTTTGCCACATCCCTCCTCCTTCAGGTGGTTTGACCCAGCATCGCCACAGTCGGA